TTTTGAATTTGTTCTCTGATCATATGATAATTTATATCCACGTACTTAGTTTGTGAATGTAATTTAAGGGTTAAGTGCAAGCCTGATAGTACTCTGAGAGTTAGAATATATGGTTGTAACTATATCTTGAGAAAATCCTAGATCAACAAGGAGCCTTTGAAACCATATGATTTCTTTTGTAGCCATATAACAAGCAACATATTCAAAAAATATTGTACTATCAATAAGGCAGGCTTGCTTTTTTTGACCCCTAATTGATTGGACATCTATTCAAGAAAAGAATGTATCCATTATGAGACTTTGTATCATCAACATTTGCTGCATAATCAACAATTGCATATGTGGTAAATAGGATTGGAAAGGTAGTACTACTATAAACTAACTTAAAATCTAGAATTGTACATAGATATTAAAAAAATCCTTTGAACAATATTGTAATAAACATATGTAAACTTGGACTTGAAACATGTAACATTATTGACTGAGTAAGAGATATTGGGATAAGTTTTCATAGAAGTAAATTGGAGACTATCAATTGTGTAATTAAATAAAAAATATTATTATTATCTATATTTAAAGAATCAGCAATACAAAGTGTTGAGATAGAATTTGCTAGAATTGAGATGAAAGAAGAGTGTTCAAAGCCATATTTATGGAGAACTCTTTCTAAATATGCTTGCTCATGAAGAAAAATCAGTCTTGATTTACTATTCCTTTCAATTTGTAATCGAATATAGATATTTAGGTTATTAACTCAAGATTCAAAGAGATCATTCATAGTGTGTAGAACATAATTGATATGTCTTGTATAATAGTAGCAATATAAGCCATTATTGACAAAAATAAGAATGATGAGTTAGTTTTCTAGTTTAGAATGGTATACACATGAGTCGGCAAAATTTTGCTTGAGTTTGTAAGTAACCAAAAACTTGTTAATTCTATCATACCATGTTGTAATAGCTTGACATAAATCATATATAATTTTCTTCAAATGATAGATTTTGTTTGGAAATTGATGATTTTGAATCTTAGAAGCTTATTTCATAAATATTTCTTGATTAAATTGATAATATAAAAAAGTGGTTTTAATATTGAATTTCTTGATGTACATGTCTTTTTAAGTAATTTACAAGATGGTCAAGGTGATTTGTATGATAATGATTAGATGAAAAATTAAAAAATACTATTATTCTTGATAATAATAGTATTAGAAGATGTATTTTGTAAAAATAATACATCTTTTGTATAGTTATATTTATCACAAATTATGTCCCTATTAATAATAACTTATTGATTTTATAAGTTTTAAATCCAATATTCTTTAGAAGTATCTAAATAACTAAAAAAGAATTAAGTGTGGCTCTTAGGATCTAGTTTTTTGTATAAGTGATGAAGCATATGAGTATATATTTTACAATCAAATGGCCTCATATGAGCTAGACATAGCTTTGTTCTTGTATAAGCCTCAAATAGTATCATATATGAATTTAATTGTGAAGAAGTATAATTCAATGTATATACAATATTATTTATTATCTTTGTTTAGAATGAAGGCTCAATTTTTGTATAATAGATCATATTCCAAAGTATCTCTATAATCATTCTATTATCTTATTCAGAGATAACATTCTATTTTAGAATATAGAAAATAGTGAGTTCATATTTGATTTCTTGTGAATAAAAAAAATCAATAAATTTTATATCGAAAAATTCACCAATATTATTGATTCTTAGAGTGAATACATGATGACTAGTATTTCAAAGAATAGCCTTGCATATTTAGTAAAAATATTTTAGAGCATCAAATTTCTTAGAATTAGAAAAGAAAAATTTGTTACATATATGATCATTTTAGAAAATTATGTAATAGAATGATCTACCATGGAAAGAGATGCTCATTGGTCTATATATATTACAATGAAACAACATTCAAGTATGTGTTGCTTTGATTCTATTGATATTCTTAGGAAAATAAGTATAGTGTGATTTACTGAATGCACAACTAGAACATAAGGTAGAAAGTTTTGTTGTCTTTAATTTTAGTCCATTTGCAGAGCCATTAATGGCCATTTTTTATATCATATCATGATGTAGGTGGTATATCTGAAGGTGCTAGGTTTGAATAACTTAAAAGTTCTTTAGAAGAAGACTAATTTCCAAAAGATGCTACGTAAGAGGTTATTGCGGAAGGAAGTAAGACGATGAAGTTAAGAAGATAGGAATTGTGAAGCATCTTTTTATTTATGATGAGATTTTTTTTTGAAAAAGCTCATAAGTATTTTCTTTATAAAGTATAAATATTTTATATTTTTGAATAATTTTGATGAGGTTGAATAGATTTCTTTCAAATCCAAGATATATAAAACATGTGTGAATAAATAAATTTTAATTCTATTAGGTAGTTGTACAAGAATTTGAATATCTCTTGTACCTATTACATAATAAGAATGTCCTATTGGAGTTTTGACGAGCTATATTGCATCCAATGGCAAGTACTTGTAATTAATAAACTAGTAAATCTAATTTGTCATATAGTAAATAATGCTACTATTATATTATAATTTTTTATAGTAGATAAAAATTAACTAAAATATATAATATATTTATAAGTGTTGATGTGAATTAGAGTGATTAATAGATTAATTTAAAGAGATTTTATGTAAAAAAATTTATTTTGAGGTTTACCTATTTTGATTATAGTGTTTAAATTATATAAGATTTAGATATTTAAAACTTAAAGAAAAGATTGGGGCTCAAAGATGAAGATTCAAACTTCTAAGAAACTTATTTGGAAGGATGAAAGCAAGGTATGATTGGATGATGGAAAAAGGTAAAGTTTTTTATTCCTATTGGTCATAAATCATGCCTAATAGGTTCTCAAGAGGCTATCTGTGACCATAATAAGGAATTTGATGACTTTTAAAGAAAAATTTGATAATCAAAAGAAAGAATTGTAAGGTTTAGGATTTGGACTACAATTTGTGTGAAAATTTTAGAGGATTTAGAATTATGGTGATGAAGTTATAGCCGTTTGAAATTAAGGTGTCTTTTTAAGATATATTGTTGCTCTTTTGAGGATACAAGGAGTTTTATGACAAATTTTGAAAATAAAGAAGTGCGATCATAAGGATGATTTTAAGATCTATATCTTTTGTGAAAGAATTTATACATTTGGAGTTTTAATGAAGGAATTATAGAGCATTGAAGACAACATATGTAATTCAAAGGCAATAAGTAAGTTATTTTGTTGATAGTAATGGTTGGAGCCATATTTTGAGTTTCTAGATGAATTTTTGAATCAAAATATCCAAAAGTGTGTGTTATTAGGTCAAGAAGCTATATAACAAAATTTTATGGTATTTGAATATTTAATTTGTGAGATATGAAAAAAATTGCACATGGGTGTATGTAAGCAAGGATTTGAAACTATTAGTAGGATTTTGATAATATCTCAAGATTTGTAACAAATTTCCACAAAAAAAATAACAAGCATAGTATGTAACAAATATAATTTTTTGTATCTTAGACTTCTTTAATATTTGATTATTATTCTTTATAGAACTATTCTAAATATATATATATATATATATATATATATATATATAACATACATATTTACTTAGATTCCAGGAATTTGATAGAAATAAGTAAAAATAAAAAAAAATTAATAATATCTAGAAGAATTACTTGAAAGCTTTGTAGATACAAATTTGATTTTTTTATGTATTTGTAGGTGATTGATAAATTAAAAACTTGGCGAACAACTTGGCCATTTGTCACACATATTGGTGACCTATAATACAAGTTGGTCATGTAGTACACATGTATAAACTTGCCTTGTAAATTAAACATACGTATCACAAGTTAGATAGATGTCTAAGGTCCTATAAAACATCAACACATAATTCCTACTTAGATATTATATATAGAAGAAATAATGAGGCATTTTTTAGACTTCTAATTTTATTTATTTATTTATTTTTTTTTTTGTTCTTAGCTTTGTTTTAAGAGTCTTTGGTTTTTGTTAATGCATGACTTTGACATATTATATTCTTGCTTTAAATTAGTGACTTTCTTAAATATTATTTTTTAATGTTGAAATATTATCTATATTATTTACATAAGAACAATATGTTATAATAATATTTATTTTTTTTGAAATGACTTCAAATATTAAAAAAATCCTTGACATAATAAAAGATGTCTAAATTTTATCTATATTAGACTAATAATTTCTTAAAATCAATGTTAGTATCATTTTAGACCTAATAATTAAAATTTTAAATAAAATAACGTATTTTACTCCAAGCTAATATTTGATGCAATATAAAAGTCATGATTATATAATCTATAAGATTTAGAATAAACTATAATTAATATTTTAATTTTCATTAAATTTTTTAAATCACTTATGAAAATTAAATAATACACTTGTTTGATTTAAATTTTTTAAATCACTCTAACAAATTTGCAATTTATGACTTCAAAAGCATTTTTATGCAAGTTCTTATATAATTACCATCACTATTGGAAAAGCCAAGAAATAAATCATTTATTTCATCTTTCAATCTTTGTTCCTTTTTTTTTGTCATGTACTTGTGTGTGTTTATTTTTATTTTTATTTTTATTTTTTGAATTTAATTATGTCAGTAAATTTGAATTTGAATTTAAATTTAATTAGTAATTTGTTTGAATTTGAATTTGAATCTAATTACTACAATTTTTGAATTTGAATTTGAATTTAATTAGTACAATTTTTGAATTTGAATTTGATTTTAATTAGTACAATTTTTGAATTTGAATTTAGTGACATTTTGATATATATATTTAAGCCCTTCGGGCATTTGCGAAACGAACAGCCTGGAGGGAAATTTTCATAATGCGACACGAACCACTACAAGTAGTAAGTCAGACAATTTAAAAGGAGTTGACAAGTCTTGATCCGCTCAACAGCGGAGGGTCAACTGATGTACCGATTAATGCAGAAATAGATAATTTGGTTTTGTTTATTGCTCAGTTTGTTTTCGCTTCACGAGTGAAAACGATTTAGGCCGTGAGTCACTACTACTAGCGGGTGGTTTCTGCAGTGGACTCGCGTAAATTTTCAGAGTCAGAGTGAAAATGCATTCAAGAAAAAGTCGATCGTAGTGATAGTAATAATAAATAAGCGAATCACTGTTCCCCGAAAGTCGTCGGTAGGATGTCTGGTGTTAAAAAAACTCCAGACTCTGTAACTGAGATAGGAGCACTAATTTGAGAAGTTTCTAAATGTAGAACAAGCATGTTGTGTCGAGCAGACAGAGTGTTGCGTCAGGCGCGTGGGTGGACGAAAATTGCTTGTTTATGTGCACAAGGTCCGTCTAGTTTACTATTTCCCTCATGAGTACAACTGAGGCCTTCCCTCAGGTCCTAATAAAAGCAACTCGAGTTGAGGTCGAAGCCAGAGATGTCACGAAGTCTTGTCCAGAATTGATACATGCACGTTGTTTTACTGTGCTAGCGTTCCAAGTTTGCAAAGTTGTTATTTACCATGCAACGCTTTATTCCAGAGCTATGGACGGATGGGATTTGAGCAAATCTCTGGGGACTGAAAGTTAATTGCCTTTCAGTCGCAACAGTATAGATCTGGGTACGAGCGGCGTCTACGTAGTTAGATGCGACTGGTACTTTACATAGTCGACGGCGAAACTGACGGCGTCTCCATCAGAATCGAAGTCCAGGAGGGAGTAGTTGAGTAGATCGATGGACCATGGATCAGTGCGTGGTGCTACTTGTCATGAAGCCACTCATTTCACCGCTGCTCCTAGTTACTTTTACTCCTGCAGTTTACTGACTAGATTGAGGGGGTACTGATAATGCGCACCAGGATCTATTTGTGAGCTGTTGGTCGCTACATTCGACCTCCAGGCAACTCTGTATCGGGTGCCGGGTTGAGTACTTGATGTGGGTGGGTTGTAGCTTACTTCTCCATTCTTAGTAGGAGGTTTGCCAAAATGTCGACGAAGCTCATATTACGGTCGGAATCGTGAGAAGGGTGCACACAATAAGAGTACTGAAGCCGCATTGTACTGTTTTTGGCATCGCATTGTCGGATTGTGGTGTTCGTTCGTGGGCAGTGCTGGCTGCGCCATCTTTACATGTCTGATCCTAACGCCGAAGTTGAAGTTTGTGTGGAATTTGGCGAGCCTGTGAGTGGGAGGAGTCCGATTTCTCGTACTTGCAGCATTTGCCCACCAATGCTATGCAATGTGTGAATCTTTCTAGAAGTGTACCACCCCTCTCTAGCTTCTATAAACCATGGGCTTCTGGAGTAAAGCATTATCACTTTGCGTAGGTCAAACTCTAGCTACTTTTTCTATTGTGGCCCGAGTCTGATTGCTGCGGCGGCTGTCACATTCGTATAGCATGTAGGAGATTACAGACCTTCGAATTATGCTGAAGTTGCTCCAAATTTCCCACACAGAGACCAGACAGTTCAGTGAACAACAGCAAGTTTTTGTTGCTACTTTCGATCTACGGGATTTAAGAGTAGAGAGTCCATCTTGTCCACAGGACGGAGTGGTAGTTAGTGAATTCTCCTGAGACAACGAGGGCTCTCTCATGGAAATTCAGCCATTATTCTAACTCTTGAGAACATCTAGCAGGAGCAGTAGCGCATGTTGGATGATTCCTATTTCTAGAATGCCTATTTCCTCTCAGCGACAATCCTCCGATTCTGAAGACAGTTCCCACATCATAATGAAGTCCCCGTTCATAGACACCGCTACGACGCCCGGGAAGCTCTTCTCGGATCCTTCCGAGTTTCCTCTGACGGGACGGCCAAGTCTAGCGGGAAGGTCCTCCTGGAGAAGCAACGGCACCATGCGCCTCGCATTTCTGCTCACTGTTCTGCAATTCACCTTCGCCATGTACGCCACCTTTTTGCTGTACTGGATGAGTCCTAGCGTGCCTGATTTAAAAATGCAGCCGGACACGTCCTTCTGGACTGACCAGTTTGGGAAAATCTTTCCGACAACGTCACACAAAGGCTCTCGATTAGTCTTGGAGAATCCTGGTTTGGAGGTTCAGCGCACCACTGTCTTTGAAGTACGGCAGCGGCCGAAGTCGGTGGTGTGCGAGTCAGAGGAGATTGCATTTCCGCAAATGAAGTCGAACAACACCAAGATGATCGAAATCAAGACTGGCCTGTTCAGGTCAGGACAACTCCAAATCCGTCTTGTTCAGAATGTGGAGATCCTCTTTTGCATATGATAAATTTGATTGCATTTCCGTTGACTTCCCTCGTCACGTGAAGGGAGGCGGTGACATTTTATCATCAGCTAACGGCTGCTTCAAACTTGTACTTTTGTCACCGACCCTGCCTTGATTTGTTTCTCAAAATGGTTGCAGGGAGATCATGGAGTTTCAACAGAAAAAGCGAGGGTGCGAGGATTTAGCAGAGCTCATGAGCATGCCATCGACCGGCCGCGATGCTAAAGTTACAGTAATTCTGAACCATTTCCAACGGAAAACGTTGTGTGCCCAGCTGGACGCATTGCTTGGTCAAACACTTCCCTTTCACGAAGTCTGGGTCGTGGCTTTCGGGAGCCCTCAGACAGACACTCTACGGACGATCGTGGAAGCTTACAACGACACTCGGATCAACATCATCGAGTCGAAATATGATTACAGATACTATGGAAGGTTTCAGCTAGCTTTGCAGGTACAGTTTAGAAGAGATGGGAACCAACTAGCTTTTTGGTTCCATGAGACACCTGCCTATCATTAGATCATAATGCATATATTTTTGCAGCTCTCAATTGGAACTGGTTTGGTTGCTCTGCAGGCGAATGGAGCGGATTTTGTCTACTTGGTGGATGATGACATGATTCCCGGGAGAAAAGTGCTCGAAATCTTTGCTCACATTGCAGGAACTGACAAGTATCGCAATTCAGTGCTGGGTAGCATTGGCCGAATCCTGCCATTTAGACAGAAGGATTTCAGTTTTCCTAGTTACCGCAAGGCAGGGGCGAAAGAGGCAGGTCTTTACTTGCCGGACCCTGCCTACGACATCGTCATCGATAGGATCGTGAAGGTCGATTTCTTGTCAAGCGGTTGGTTTCTGTCTGCGGAATTGGTAAAAACCATCTTCATTGAGACACCCCCAACTTTCTCTACTGGCGAGGATCTCCACCTCAGTTACCAGCTTCAAAAATATCATGGTCACGGCTCTTACATTGTCCCTATTGACCCCAACGACGAGGATACTTGGGGAGACAGGGAGCATCGTCTCGCTCAAGTCAACGAGACCACTGTCATTCACAAACATGTTGTGGAGGTAAGGGAGATTCGTTGCCATTGTGATGAATGATCCTAATTTTGCAGAATACTGCTTCAGGTCTCCCGCGCAGTGACAGTCTTACCCTGCAATGGCTAGTCTCTTATTCTGTTGGTGCAATTGCAGGTCCGGGACAATCAATGGTGGCGAACCTTCTCGAGGGGTTATATAACCCAGTGGGCGGAAATGAATCCTCAACGCTGCGACGCATTTTTGTACGCGCACAGCATCGGCGACGTTAAAGTAATGGCGCCTTTGCTGCTGAAGTTCCGTAGTACATTCGGAAGGAAGGCCTACTTAGTTGTTAGTGGAGGGCAGTTTAGCCCTTGTGAGAAAGCCGCTGAAGCTCTAGGTTGGAACCCATCGCAATGCAAAGATCGCAGATTCAAAGTGTTTGATCTCGAGGTAAAGACACTAAAGGGACCTGAATCAGTTTTAAGGCGTTGTTAGGGTTCCCACCACTGAAACTTTTTACAAATTCGTAATTATGTGAAATTGAGGGTCTAACTGTGTACCTGCGCAGGTGGGTACTATTCACAAGGGCTTCTCCGAAACACCAATCGTTCAGGAAGTTTCTGCTTCAATGCGTGGTTTGATGAAGATACACTCACCCTCTCTCCTGATTACTGTCAGCAATTTGCCGTCTGCCGTTGCGGATGCCTTGAAATTGGCCAGGAGCCAAGCAGGCACCAACACTACGCTTGTACAGATTCCTCCGTCCTCGTTCAAACACTCGCTGTGGATTGCGACAGTTCCACCTGCTTCACTCTCATGTAAGAAATCCGAGTGTATGGTTGACTTCATTCCTTTTAACTCGTTATCGATGAATCTCCACATCAGGAATTTTTGAGGAATAATACTGCTATAATAGCAACAAACACGGACATGTATTTAAGAAAAACTACTTTACCTTTGAGAGAAGCTGACGTGTGCTGTGGTTGTTGAACAGTTTGGAGAGAAATGCGGATTCAAATTAACATTATTACCCAGAACAGAGCCGATTCTCTTCAGCGCTTGCTGCAATCTTTGACTAATGCACACTACGTTGGAGACACAATTGATATTTCCTTCAACATGGACGTTGCTGTAGACAGCCGCACTCTTTACGTAATTGATTCGTTCAACTGGCCTCATGGCCAGAAAATTGTGAGGCGGCGCATTATCCGAGGAGGTCTTATTAGAGCTGTCAGCGAGAGCTGGTAATTGACATGCCGACACTTTTCCAATCTCATATTCGTTGACAGTCCTTAACAGATGTGACCGTTACCCTTTCTTTTCCTTTTTTTCCTTTTTTTTCTCTGATTCTTTTTTCTGTTTGTTTGAGTATCCATAATTGTTACTTTATCTGGTCGGACACTGATCAACGGTTTCTACACTCCATTGTATTTGCAGGTATCCTGCCTCAGACAACGATTTTGGTTTGCTACTCGAGGACGATATTGAAGTCTCGCCGTATTACTACATGTGGCTCAAGTACGCCACCCTGCAATATTATTACAACCCCAATGTTCACCTTCCGGAACTCAACGCCATTGCTCTTTATACCCCACGCGTTGTTGAGGTTGTGAAGGAGAGGCCACATTGGAATGCTACCGATTTCTTCAGCGCAGTTCATCCGAACACACCATACTTGCATCAATTGCCTTGCAGCTGGGGAGCCTTGTTCATGCCTAAGAGGTGGCGTGAATTCTATAAGTACATGGGCATGCGTTTCACAGAGGATGCTAAGGCCAACCCTGTCCAGATTCCAAAGTCCCGGACTAACGGATGGCAGGTCAGTTCTTGGGACATTTTTTACAGCTTTTATCAAGACAAACATTCCCAATCATGTCACGTTAGCGTTATTGTCAGTCATCAACAAGGTTGTTGGGTGGGGGGTTATCAGGATGCACTTAGTTGTAGAAACTCCCAATTCTTGGTGGATTTTCCAACTATTTGTGGATTGAAATGGTTGCTCCTGAACTGACAGGCATCGTGGAAGAAGTTCCTGATCGATATGATGTACCTGCGGGGATATGTTACGTTGTACCCCAACTTTCCCAACCAGACAAGTTTCAGCACAAACCACATGGAGCGCGGCGCCCACATTGGTGCTGCCACTAATAACCTCAAGCACGACCCGATGGACTTCATCGTCCCTCTCTTGCAGGTTTGAGCTTCGGTCATCTCATCCGTGAAACCTCAGGCTTGGTGCTATTCCATCAACCTGGAATCTAATTGTCTGCCGTCGTCATTTTCAACTTGTTGCAACCTTCATTGTTTCCTGAATGAGAAATTCTGAGTCTGACTTCGACATATTACCAATGCTTGATCAGGAGGATTTCTTCCCCTTGCTACCGAACTCGAAGTTGCCCCCAGCTTCAAAATTGCCTGTCATCAATCTTTTCAACCAAGCTGCCTCCCTACGTGGTCTCAAAGCTGCAGGGGCAAAGCTTGGGCAAGACGTGTTAGAGTGCAAAGTGACTGAGGTTGTAATGGCTGACGACAAGACTGGGGAGCCCCTAAATTGTCGTACATTTTAATATCTTGGATAATTCCAACAACCTTTATCTCCACCCGACCCAGGAGCGCAGTTTTGACGTCGACAATTTGTGGGCAAGTTCGTCGTTTTGACGCTGTAGCGTGCCTTCTCCTATCGATGTACAGCATTGAATTAACCTTCACACATTGCTTCCCAACTACTATTGATATTGACATTTATTTTCCAACGAAGACTATAGGATGTCAACAAGAAGAGTAAGAGATCTCCGTCAGGGAGCTGTAGTGACTGAGGTGTCGAGGTGTGCGGCTTTGCTAGGTATTCTTGCTAAAGAAGTCGCTATTTCTTACACTCTCCGGATGAGGTAGGGGACACTCCGGGATAGATCAACTCGGTGTTGCAGAAAGGGCTTGATGCATTGTATTAGATGAAAGTGCGGTGATACACTCGCCTTCTTAAACCCTTCGCTTCAGTTGGATCTGTGTTCACTCTCCAGTAAAGGCGACCGATTCCTGAGTTATTTTCTTGTTCTTGAGTTCTCAGTTTGTAAGTGAAATGGTGGTCAATTGATTTCTTAAATTTTTAGGCCTAACTGTTATACACGCATTATAGCTTTCATTGGGATATACATTTTCTGTGCAGTGTAACAAATTTGACCAAGATATGCCAACACTTGAGGCTAATAAGTTCCTGCAATTACTAACTAATTTCATTCGGGGCTTCAGAACTGAATGTGTCTCTAAAAAACCTGTACGAAAAAGTCCCAAAGCTCTGATGCTCTGATTTGGGTTTGTGTGATACAACTTGGTTGAAGATAGCTAGTGTAGACAGTGCCTTACTTCACTAAGAGAACCAACAGTGTCTGCAACGTCCTCTCATCAAGATACATGGAGCGAGCTGGACAAAGCTATATTAATCCGAGCATGTCTCGTCATGCATCCAGGGGTCCCATGGATCTGCCGGAGAAGCAGTTTGATAGAAGGAATTGTTCACGATTTAGTGATTGTATCAGTACCTTCTGGAATCTCCGTCTCCGGAGCGAACAAATGCGAATAATCAGTCACACTTTTTGTGCATTCAGCGATTCGAGGAATCTACGCATGTCGACGACTCCTGGATGTTGGCTGTGGTTGGGGAGCCTGAAGCGGATGTTCGAGAAGATTGTGACAAGGCGCATCAATGCTGTCGACATGACATGCGGTCAGAAGTGTTATCCTGCGAGTAAGTAATTGGGGCAAAGAGTTCCGATCGAGGCAACCTCTACCCTGCAAGGCATCCTGATCTCGAACCAATGGGCAACGAGACTGGATTCCACAAATGGGATCACCTGCGCTGTGCATCTTGTCTTCATCAGTCCAAGACTTAATATTTTAGCGCTGAAAGGACCTTCAGTGTATGCGGTCAGCATCAATCATCTAACAGTTTCACGATTGAACAGAAGTTATAACATTGCATATTATTTTTTAAGGTCGCCATCGCGTTTAGGACCGTCAATATAATTTACGGAGAGGCCATGTCTATATTACGTTTTTCAGTTATACGTTAGTGAATCTATCAGTGAATTGCATGTTCAGGAGACCCACATATCGGTCGTCGTCGTTCTGGACCCACAGAATTGGGTCTAAGTCATTCGTTTCTGCACGATTTGACCAAAACTATGAGACTCCAAAAATTTCCCACCAACTCCGAACTTGTACTTACATGTCCTCGTAACCAAGTAATTGCATGTCCTCATGACCGAGGCCAACTAACACCATCACCCAGCATCCTTGACCCCGAGAAGCTTTCTTACATCGAGTCAACACCATGGACTTGTTCATGAAACGCCTTTTGATTCTTTGGAGTTCCACTTTGCCGACCTATCGTCAACGTGGCAGCAGAGTTTCCGAAGCGTCTTTACATGGTTATGGGAGCCGAGTGCAACAATGGTAAAATAAGAAACGGGAAGGATAAGCAGAAGAAGAAGAAGAACTCAAGCCAAAAGACAGCACAAAACTCAAACATTTTTCTCTACGTGGTGGGTGCTAATTTTGTCGACATCGTGGGCTGCTAGTTTTGATCGGTGCTGCAAGTTGCCATGTCTTGGTCATGTCGTCGTCTTCGTCATGGGCCCTAGTGACCTTTTCCATGACATCGCCAAGCTCCCTTCCTATCGATGCTTCGAAATCTCAACAAGGAAAGAAAGGAAAGGGAAGCCCACCACGGCAACGCCAATGCAAAGCCCCACCCCCACCTCCCATGTCTAATTCATTGCTTACCCTCTCTCTTTCTTCCAAGTTTTCTCCTTCTTTGCATTTGGAACCTAAGAATAGAATCGAGAGGATTAGAGGAGCAACATTCCGTCATTGCATTTGGGATCTAATATTAGAAAGCATTAGATGAGGAGAATGCCTTGATAAAAGAGGGGAACTTTTTTCCATTGATGTCTCTTTTTATTCACTTTTGGAGGATTCTAAAATTATGATTCTGAAAGTAATCAACAAGTGTCTTTAGCTATGGTTCTTATTAAAAAAAATAAAAAATAAAAAAATCCAAATATTATTCAAAAAGTTGGCTTCTTCTTCTTTTGGATTGGGAAATCATACTATATTTCTTATTGTTTGCATGTGTGATGTTTATTGTGTTTGTAGCAATTTTTTGACATATATATATATATATTTTTAGTGTATTCTCTTTTTGCTTTATTATATATTATGGTAAGCATCAATCTTTTTCTTTAAGAAAATGTAAAATAGATCCATGTTTTTACTAAAGAGACCCACCTTTGTTGAAGAATATGATAATCATGATGAATGTGGTTGGCTTTTATTAGTTATAGATCAAGTAATGGAAAAATGAATCCAAAATTTTTTGTATTTTTTTCGTGATAATTATGATGGATGGATAATTTTAATAAATACTTTGGTATATTTAACATTTTTCTTTTTTTATTATAGAAGAAATATTTTAGATTATTTATATGATATTTTAAATATATATAAGATTCTATATTATAAATCTAAATTTAGATTTTTTATCTATAATAAAATAAAATTATTATAATATAATAGATATTTAAAATTTGAATATTTTTTCTAAAAATAAAATAAAGATAAACTAATACTAATATTATTATGACTAAAATGTTAGTTATTTCTTGTCTTTTCAACGTCTTTTGCTGTTGATGTTTTTTAAGTTTAATTAATTATATAATTTAAAAAAGTATATATAATATTTATTACTAAAAAATAAAGACTTTATGTTAATTTTATTGATCTAAAAAATTATTATACCTAATTATATATAATTTTAAAATAAAAACTAAATATTGAATATAATATATTAAATATTATAATAATATATAATTGCATAATAGTTTTTTCATATCTATTAGAAAGAAAATTTATATTTAATCTTTTAAAAAATTACCAATTCAAATTATTTTATACATACCCAAAATTAATGTTTTGTGAAAACTTCAATTATATAAGTTAAAATTAACATATCTTTAAATTTTAAGTAAAAAAAATTGATAGCTAATCAATTTAAGATTATAAATTAGAAAATATTATAATAATAATATTAATAATAATACATCTTATAATTCAATTACCTATATTAATTAAAAAATATTACTATCCATTACATGCCACTTTTGAAAACTTTATATTTAATTATAGATATTTTTAAAAGTAAAAAAATTAGTATTTAATTAAAAATAAATTTAAGAAGTAGATGTAAAATATATTTAAAAACTTAATTAGAAATATATTAATTCTGTTAGATAGCATTAAATGTCGTGCAATATTTTAAAATATAGATTAATATTAACACATGATAATAAACCTAAAATCATGACTAAGCTTTTAAGAATTTTAGTAAATTAAAGTGTAAGAGTAATTAAATTGTTATCACTATGAAATTTAACAATATTTAAACCTATAACAAATATAGATATTAGAATAACTTTAATAATTCAAAAACAATCTATTTAATTTAATACATTAAAACTTAAAATAATATTAATTATATATGATATACTTTTAATAGAACATATATAAATAAAAATATAAAATATATGTATATGATTACATAATATGTAAGTATTCATAAAGATTTTGATCATGTAATTAATTTAATTAAATTAAGATAAAATAAGTTATCTTTAAAATGTTGTTAAAAAGATACATCACAAGTAAGACGAGTTTTAAAATTCTCTTGTTTATATTTTATAACAAAATTATTATTTAATTTTACAGAAAATTCTATGTATGCTTTAAAAATCTATAATTTTTAAAAAATATAATATATTATTATACATATATATATATATATATATATATATATATATATATATTATAAATAGTTTTAAAAAGAAAAGATCAATAAAGACAAATAGACCTTCAATAATGCAATACTATTTTAAAATCTTAAAAATATCTAGAATTCTACACTTATTTTTTTAATAAATTGGATAAAAAACTAAAAGAAAGAGTATATTAATTAGAAAATTAAATTTTAAAAATTATTAATAATTAGAATTTTATATTAAATTATTTTTTACCTAAATAATAAGTTTTAATATTTTAAAAATATTTTTAGTAAAAAATTAATATTTAAATTATTAAAATAGATTTATTATATTCTACTAATAAAATATTATTAATTATACTTCTATTCTATTTTTCATTGGTAATGATAACTCTTTAAATTGGTTTTTTTTTTAATAATTATTTTATTTTTATTGATTTATCAAAATTAAAATATATTTATAAATATAAAAAGAAAAAATAGAAAAGAAAATAAAATATAATATACATGTGGCTTTATATTATTTTGATGTATTATATCTTTAATTTCAATATTTTAAAAAATAATTTGACTTTTTTGAAACATTTAAAAAAAATAATAGACTATCATTTGAAATTACTTCTAATTTGGTTAGAAAGAGCCTAATCAAATCATTTTAAGATTATCGTGGTTAGAAAGATATAACCCTCACATACATTGGATTTCTTGTAATCTTGATTTCTCCCATAGTTTAGCTCAAGGTTCTTCTAGGTAAGTATAAATCCATAAGTCTAGTATATTCAAACCCTTATTGATAGGTACAAGAGCTTTCATGCATGCTGCAAATGAAGGGCCATCTTTTGTTATATATGCCATGTCCATTGTTGATGGTGAGAAGATATGAAGTGATATTTCTAGCCAGTATCAAGATTTCTAAGATGTTTTTGAAAAGAAGAATGCAGATATTCTTTCGAAGCATCATCCTTATAATTATACCATCAATCTTCAAGAAGAAATTCAACCACCATTTAGATCAATCTATAGCCTATCACAAAATGAGTTGCATGTACTCAAAGAGTTCATTGATAAGAACTCGGCTAAGAACTTTATATGCCATTTTAAATCTCTAACTGATGCTCATATCTTATTTGTCAAGAAAAAAGATGGATCTTTGTGGATGTGTGTAGATTATTGAGGATTTAACAAGATCACCACCAAGAATAGGTATCGTCTACGTTTGATTTTAAGACT